TTTTTTTTTTTTTTTGCCTTTTTGAGACAGGGTCTCGCTATGCATTTCAGGCTGGCCTTGAGCTCACTTTGTAGCCCAGACTGGCCTTGAACTCGCAATGATCCTCCTGCCTCAGCCTCCCAAGTGCTGGGATTACAGGCATGTGCCACCACACCCAGCTCTTCATAGCATATTACAATGTTGATTCCTCATGTATCTTTTTGATGTTCTAGATAAGAATATTGTAACTTATTACTCATAATATATTTTATATGCAACTTTTATTGGAAATCAAGTGATACCCGTTTATATTAGTGCTTTACAAATCCTAGGACTATCCTAGGGAAGTGTTGGGCGCACTCAGATTCTTCCAGGCATCACGTAATGGAAAGTGTAGATGATGAGAACAAAGCATTAGGAGTGATATATATGGTAGCAGAACCTATCCAAAGGCCTCTAAATTAAAACACATTTTTTAAACCCAAGTTATAAAGGGTAATACAGGTGTTGGCAAACTCAGAGGCTTTCAGGAGCCATAAAATGAAACCACTGAAGTTGGTGGATGTGTACAGCCTCATCCTGTCTCCAGAGGTGAGTGTACGTTAGGATTTTTGAGGTACACCTATTTTAAGCAGAAAAGGAATTTACTGGTTTCTGTAGCCGATGAAAGATGGTTAACTTACAAGATGAAAGGAACTTGACCTTGCCAGACTCTTTCCATCTTTCTCCCCCACTGATGTCTGTTTCTTGGCGTTTTGGTTGTAGGCTCTCCCTCTGCAGATACTATGGTGGGAAACGGCGAGGAAGTTCGTTTTCCTCAGCATCTGTGCCACACATGGTGCTAGGGAAGCGTCTGGTTGGCCTTATTTACAACAGTTGGTGCAGCAATCTTGCTAGTGATGTGATATTCTTGATTAGCCAGGCTTAGGGTACATGGCTCCCCTTCTGGCGAAGGAACTGTTGGTTTTTTGATGGAAAAGGAGGACTGGAGATATTTTTGGGCACACAAAATCAATAGCTGCTGTAACTCATTGTGGTGAGAAAACTTCGATTGCAGTAACGAGCTGGTGTTCAGTTTCATTTTCCTTAGCCTCCTGGAATGGCCCATCATGACATTTATACCTCAGTGGCACTATGAAGGGATATTGAAGAAAAAAACATTTATCTCCACCTTTCATCCTCACTTTCAAAAGGAGAAAATTCTAACTTTTTGGTTTTTTTCCACTTAGAAAGCAAAAGGATTTAAATGCTGTCCATGTTCATGCATTTTAGGTAGGTGATAAGAAATGAGCTTCCAGCTGGGAGCCTGAGTACACTTTGCTAACTATGCTGGTTTTACCAACTTTATGAATTTGGGTGAGTCTTTTATCTCTTCTCCATCTTTTTCATTTGTAAAGGAATCAGGTTAAAGTAAATTTCTAAAGTCCCTTCCTGCCCAAACAGCATGAGTCTAAGGAAACTAGCGACTTCCAGTGAGCCATTTTTACACTTAGAGGCTTGGATTTTTTTTTGGAAGGGACAGTGATAAGTGTGTAACACTTCGTCTCTCAGAGCTTTGGACACACAATCCCTCAAGCTTCAGAGAAGCAGGTTTGGGGTCAAGACCATCAGATACTGCCTAATGCTTCAGTACTGTAATTTCAGAGGGGTCTTAAAGAGACCTTGTAATATTAAAACTTTAATTTTAAAATTTTAAATATGTTTTAGGGAAGGTAGGAACATTAAACGTTGTGATATAAAATCCACTTGGGAGTTAAGTTTTAAACTTCGAAAGATTAGTCTGTTCGTCCCCATTGAATTTGTCCCCATAGGGACAAATCCCCATAGGGATTTAAGAAAATATTTTGGACTTTTGGTTTTATGTCTGTGATCCCCACTAAGAAGCAATTAGGTGATAAATCTGGATTTGATTTTGAGAAAAAGACAGTGAATAAGAAGTGAAGACTCCCAGGAACATGCAGGAAATTAATATTGCAGAGGTCAGGAATGGTGGCACCCTTTGGACTGGGTGGTAGAGCAGGTTAAGGAGTGTTTCTTCAGCACCTACCCAACCTGTATTGTGTAATCATCAGATATGTGCACTGTTGGTTAATTACACCCGAGTTATCCTTGTGGGAATCTTTAGTACTTGACAGTATGTTCTGTTTACAGGAGGAGAAAATGAATCCAGGGAGGTCAGCTATTCATTTCTGTCTCTCTGTGGTGATGTTACTCTTTAGTAACTTCTGTAGGAGTTGACCTAAAAAGAGAATAGAAGTCACTCATTCTCAAAAAAAATCACATCTTCATGAAAATATTAACACATTCCTTTTTTTTTTTGTCTTTTTTGAGACAGGGTCTCACTATGCAGTTCAGGCTGACCTTGAGCTCACTTTGTAGCCCAGGCTGGTCTCGAACTCACAGTGATCCTCCTGCCTCAGCCTCCCAAGTGCTGGGATTACAGGCGTGTGCCACCACTCCCAGCCGACATTTCTTTTTAAAAGACTTTAAAACAAGCGCAAATAGACACGTATATAGAAAGAAATTTATTTTCAGCATACTTCAAATGATTTTTTGCAAAATGGATGATACATTGATTTGGTGATACAGTAAAATACATTTTTAGTAAAATGGACACAAATCTTAAGTATTTCTACTACTTACCCAAGAATATCTCGTCTTATTTGTAGATAATTTTCCAAATTATTTTATAGGGAATCATTTAAGTAAGTATATGCTTGGTAATGAGTGCAGCGGCGATCGAGCCCTTCCTAAAAAGAAGCTTCAAATTGTGTTGGGTGCATAATTACACTAGGGCTACTGCACAGTGATAACAGAAACCTCCTCAGCTGACTCAAACAGTAGGAGGGATTTATTGTAAGTGCATAGGGTGTGCCGTGGGATGCAGGGGCAGGGATGCACTGGCCCTTCAGAATGGGCTGGAGTGACGGACTGCGGTACCATACAGAACCCTGTGTTCCATCTCGTATTCTCATTCATTCTCTCCCTCACTCTTACTCTCTCTTCTCTTGTTCTTTTTTTCAAACTAGGTTTCACAGTTTCTTAGTCCGTGTGGCAGATAATGGTAATAACCAAACCTCCTGAAACTACAGGTTCTCCAAGAGAGCAGTAATTAGAATCTTAGTCCCAGTTCTGCATCCACAGTGAGGGGCTAGTTGGTCCCACTAGAATCAAGTGCGTATTCCTGGGCCTGTCACCTACAGAAAGGAGCAGGGTCACAGTGACAATACAGAGTAGAAGAGAAGGGGATGCTTTTAGGAAAAGGATGCTAGGTAGTAAACCCAAGAAATATTTACCAAAGCGCTCACAAGGCACACAGTCTGATGAAGATTATAATATAGGTATTTTTTCTTACTGTTTTTTGTTTTTGAGCTAGGAACTCCCTGTGTTGTCCAGGCATATTTGGAACCTCGGGGCTCAAGCAATCCTCCCATGTTAGCCTCCTGAGTAGTTAGGACTATCCTACATATGCATGCCGTCCTGCCTGGCTATATATGATTTATACATTAAGTAAAATGTTGAAGGCAGTGTTGTGGGACAAGAGATCAGTGTCTGAACAATGTGTTGTATCTTGAATTGAATCTTGAATAATCCTGAGCACTAATTTATATAGGTATACTAATCATAGATAAAATATAATAAATCTATACTATAAATATGAATTAACTACTGATACATGTTATACTAGGACAAACCTTGAAAGCAAGATGTATGGAAGAAGGCAGACACAAAAAGTCACAAATTGTATGATAGCTCAGTTTTTTTAAAAAAATGCTGTTCATTTATACCAATGGTAGCAAACCTATGGCACACGTGCCCCAACAGCATGTTTATTATCATTGAAAATTCTAAAAGGTTCACCATCGCTGACCTATATACAATAATGAAGTATGGATATTTTATTTTTTTCTTTTTTGTCTTTTTGAGACACGATCTCACTATGCAGTTCAGGCTGGTCTTGAACTCACTTTGTAGCCTAGGCTGGCCTCGATCTCGCAACGATCCTCGTGCCTCAGCCACCCGAGGGCTGGGATTACAGGCATACACTACCATACCTGGCTGGATGTTTTCTTTTTTACCTTATTCTGTTTTTAGGTCCGTAATATTAACTGATAAGGCAGGCTCTTCCAGCTTTAAGTATAAATTAGTAGATTAATGCTATATTATAGGAAGTGAAAGTGATTTCAGAGTAAATTTGGATTTCTGAATATCTTTGTTTAACATAAGAATGTAATTATAGCAAAAACACATTCACACTTGTGCAGTTACCTGCCTCAGTGACCCGACAGTGAGGATTCAGATGGGTTAAGGTGGCTCTGCAAATAGCCCACTGATATAGCCCATCTTCAACGTATGTGTACCAGTGTAATTAAAAACTACAGTGTTTAAATTTTAAAGATATATTATCATTAATCCCCCCCAAATGCCCTCCTTCACTTCAAACACATTTCTCTCATCATTCTTGTCACTCTCTGAAGTGGTTCTAGAAGTTCTCGTTTGTATGTTTAACTGCTGTCATGGTTGCCTCAGTGTCCTAAATTGATTCAAATTGTTTACCTTTCCTAGTCTTTTTTACTGTGGGGAAGAGCCGTAAGTTGAACGGTGCCAGATCTGGTCAACAAGGTAGATGAGGATGTGCTGTAATGTTTTCATAAACCTGACAATTGGCAGTAGCACTCATTGATTTTTTGATCACCACTTTTAAAGAGTCATAAAAGAGGACTTCCACAGCTGCTCCAGAAAATGATGGGATAAGTGTGTTTGAAATGGGCGGCAATATTGCGGGGGTTACTGACAACATGTGTT